ACTTCCACGGCCTGCCTCCTAAGGGCCAGCCAGGCCAAGGAGGCTGCTCTTGCCAATCCACGGCCTGCCTCCTCACTGCTTGAAGGGCCAGCCAGGCCGAGGAGGCTGCTCTTGCCAATCCACGGCCCGCCTCCTGACTGCCTGAGTTTCAGTGCCGGTCGTTCTGGTGAACGACCGAAAATAGCCCTTCGTTTCAGGCTAAAAAGGCTCTCGCCATTTTTAGTTTGAAACGACACAGGGACTGTAGTCCCCTGTTTTCAGGCTGAATTCTAGGCTTTTTGGCTGAAGGGCGCAGGGCCTGGAAAATGGCCTGCGTGTGCAGGCGCAGCATGTAACACTGTGTGTGAGTGGCGGTGAAAATCGTCAGACAACCAAGTTCATAACAATAGAGTAGTACCAATCACGGTTGTTTGGGAACTCTGGGGTGTATAACTTGTCTTTGTGGACTGGTAATTCGTTGACTTCGTTTGTCAACAATTAGGGTAGCGATACTCGCTAGGTAGGATTGGTGCTCATTACGACCGCGATGTTCAGAGATTGGCGAAGACCTGCTACCTTGTTGCTGGTTGGTGGTGTTAATTAGAGGTATACATTGTACAGAGTGTAGAACGTGAATTTTGTGAATGGTTGTTGCTTTTGCCGGTGGATTGGTCCATCACATGGGTTGCTGATTTGAATTTTAGTTGGGGTTGCTGATTGAAGGTGCATAGGGTATGGAGTTGGAACTTTGTGAATCATTTTGGGATTCTGTCCGTGGGTAATTAGGGTTAGATCATTGACAATCTTGGGTTCGTGCTTTTGGTTGGTGATTTGTTACCTAGCTTGGATTTCGCTAGATTAGGGTTGCTTAATAATGGCGGTTTGGAGAAGGGGTGGATTAGGATTTCGCTTTCTTAAATTAGGTTACGCGATTTTTGTTTTAGGGTTGGGTTTGGGATTGGTTGTCATGACCTTGTGGGGCTGCGGTAGGGATAAGTTTGAGTGAGAGTGCTTTGCTTAGCCCGTTTGGCCACAGCAAATGATGCAAGGGACGCGGACCCGTTTCCCAGTTATATGATATCTGCTTTGTTCCAGAAGAAAAAAAAAAGTGGTATCTGTTCTGATCAGTGGCCCACTGGACCACGTACCCGAAAAAAAAAAAAAACAACATTGGGCCGACAATTATGTTAGAACTTAGAACTTAAAACCCTCAGGATGCAGAACAGAAGAACAGACTAATGGTGGAATGACTCAAGGGTGTCATTGAGTAACTGAGTACCTCAGGAGACTGTCAGGTTCTGCAGTTCCAGTGTGAACCCACAATTGTCTATGAGTGATGGGGCGTTCCCGGTGTTGCAGTTCCATTCCAGATGGGCAGCAACCACTGCACTTCAGGGGGCCAGGGTCCCACTAAAAACAGGCCAGGGGTACATCCCAACACCAGAGCAAGCAAAGAAGACACCAAGACCTTACAAGGAGGCTGGGGACAGATGGAGAAGGCCAAAAAACGGAAAAAAAAACAAATGGAGAAGGCCACTTTATGTAACTCAATATCTGGGGAGACGGACCCACTCACCCCTAAGCAATAGAATAGCCATAATCTCAGATCATCATCAACACTCTCTTGCTCTCTTTTTCTTTTTTTCGAACATCGATGACGGGGTGTAGGAGAGGTGCTGATAAGAGCAGACACCCCCTTTGCTATCCCCGCTCGTTGGATGGCTCCGTTCCATTGGTGGGGAGCTGCACCTGCTGGAAAACGGGTCCAGCGTCCCTTTACATCATAACAAGGAGCCAGGTGATGTGTTCTCAAAGTGCTGTGGTTTCAGATGACAAAGTCAATGTTCTGGGACGCTGGACCCATTTTCCAGTCACTGTGGGCCATAGGGACTGGATTTCACGCCTGAATCTGCACATGTTCCTCTCCAGAGATTCATAGATGAATCCGGATTGATCTGCCTTTGTGCATCTCTGCATAAAACACATCCAGATTCAGGTGCTTAACCCAACTGTCTTTGCCAGTGGGACCTTGCTGTCATGGTATCCTGGAGCAAGGTTCCGCTGGCAAAGACAATTGGATTAAGCGCCTGAATCTGGATGTGTTTTATGCAAAGACACACAAAGGGCTTTTGGAAGTCGGTACCCTGTACGTCGCGGCTGTGCAACGCATAACTGGACGTGTGACAACTTCAGCGTTGGAGAAGACGGACATAGCTGGACCTGCGGACTGTCGGCCATAGCTGGGACCGACGCTGTACTCTGACAGCACGCGGGGCTGTTCAGAGGCTCGGGCTATCTGAAGTCTGCTGGAGGCGAGAAAAGTTGGTGCCCTGCTGGACCCTCCTCAGGAGTAGGGTTTCAGGGTGTTTGGCGCTGCAGCCATAGCTGCAGCTTTCTTCCTCATAGAGGATCTTTGTCAGGAGAGGTGGCGCTGTGACGGACTTCCACCCGGGAAGTCCTCTGGCACTTCATCATCATCGGATACTATGGCGCTGGTCTTGTTCTTCATCCTCTGAGAGGCGCTCGGCCTCAAAGGCCTGTTTCAAGGTGGCGCTTCCCTCTGGAGGCAGTATCTAGGTGGCGCTGGTTGTTTCAGGGACTCAAGGGTAGTATAGCGGTTACTCAGGGTTGGGAACTGAAGTGCTGCTCATTTCTGAGCAGCGCACCATGGATCTGGGGTTATCCTGACATTTCGAGACTCAATGAGTTTAATAAACAGTGTTTATACTGTGTGTGGACTATCATTGCTTCATTGTTTCCTGGATGTGATCTACTCGGCTTTCCTTTGTGACTGGTTGTGAGGATTCTGTGGAGCGAATTGCACTTTCAGTGTTTTCTGTCATATCGCGTGGGCAAGTCTTCCGCTGTGTTTATCTCTTCCTGTGCGGTGTGATACTCCCATCCTCTCCCCTTCCTTTTGTGTATGTATGGGCATACCTGGAAGTCTATGTGAGCGAGTGTTGGTCTTCTGACAACAAACAACCAGGATCATAACACCTGCATACACAGGTTACAGGGCCCAGCACTGGCCAGTGTTTCTCTGGCATCAACTAACCGAGCCTTCTAAACATGCACAGCTATATCTGCATACCAAGATAATACTAACACCCAAAGTTTTGAATCTGACTTCGGTAGACTTTTTTTTTTTTTTTTTTTTAACAAAACAGGTCCTTATGGTCCTGGCTCCTTTTTATTCTGGGTAGCGTCATTCCGGTTCCTATTCCCCCGACAAGTCAAAGGATTTACATATTATACACACTCACGCTTCCTTTCATG